TTTTTTTTCCCCCTTCTTTTTTTTTTTTTTTTTTTTTTTACCGAAAAACAATTTCCCCCCCTGCTGACTGTCATCAAGCTGGCAGCTTTGTCATTGCATTGATGCAGATCCTGTTAAAAGGAGCACACAGTCACTGAAGCATGATCATTATGGACTGAATCTAGAAGTACCTGCGGTCAGATACATCAATGCAAATCTCAGCATGAGTATACACGGAGGACATACTCACACTGACTTTTTTTTTACTCATTTATGGACGTGATTGGGGTCTAATACATCAAGGTCCAGCTGTAAATGTGGTCAGATACTTTTTTTTTTTTTTTTCCCTAGTGTCAGATACATTGGACGTAGAGCAAATGTGAGCACACTCTGAGCGCATACTCACACTAGGACTTTTTGACTCAGCTCTGGACAGGATTGTCGTCAGATGCATCCAGATATGTCTGTAACTGGGGTCACAGACATTAAGATCAGGGCATACTCACACGGGGTCCAAAAAGCCCAAAATCCCAAAATTTGAGTCGTTTTTCGGGTCACACTGGGGTGGCACGGTGACCAAATGCCTTAAACCGTGACCCTTCTGTCAGCCGCGCGGGGCCGCGGGTGAACCCTTTTTGAGACCACCTCCGGAGGTGGTCTCAAATGACCAAACGCTTTTTTCTTTTCGTGTTCGCGAATTCAAGAAAATCGTAGACGAATAAGACCGCGCGAAACAACTGGAGGGGCGGGAATTGGGGCATTTGGGTTTTTTGAAGCCCGTGGCCTAGTCACACCACGCGCATGCAGAAGACCCAGCAGACCCACCTCTGTACGCTACATCCACGGCGGTTTGTCGTGTGTTGCGGAGGTGTAGCGCCCGCCTCTCCCCTCATCTCCGCCACTCTCCCCACATCTCCGGCTGTCTCCCCTCCGCCGAAGAGCTCAACCGTTGGGAATGCATGTGAAATGTATGTGGTTGGTTTCGTGGGTCTGATGCATTCGCGAGGCCCATTATTTATTTATTATAATGTTATAATGTTTTATTTATTATAATGTTATAAATCCGCTGGCGGGGACTCGCTCCACATTCGCTGCACCACTCTCCACATGCTCAAAAGACAATAAAGATGGCAATGCATCTTTCCATGTTTGGGCGGTGGATTCAGTCCCATTTTTCACATTTCAGAGTAGTGTAGCGAGGCGGCAATGCGTTGTAGCGAAAGACAAAATAGATGGCAATGCATCTTTCCATTTTCTACGGGTGGGTTCAGTCTCATTTTGCACATTTGGAGAGTAGTGCAGCGAGGAGGCAATCCGTTGTAGCGAAGGCCCACGTTATACTGGCGCGAAAGGAATTATGCT